TCAGTCAGATTCAGGCCACAAAGGGAATGGCCAACTTCTTTGTTATTGCTAGATGTGCAGCCTCTAATTTAGAAGAAACAAAACTTGTACATGATAATGAAGCAGAAGATCAAAGTTCAAAATTAGGTTGCTGCATCACTGGGTCTCAATCTGACCCAGAGACAGGTTTTTTTTCTACTACAGAGATACCCAAATTAGAATGAGGAAGTTTGACTGAGTAATGATGAAGGAGGGAGAGGACTGAGGACTGAGCAAACATTATAAGAGCACATCATGTCATGGTACTCTGTAAGGGGACAATGGGTCAGTTTAATATTCAGATCAAATCTTTATTACAGCCGTAGACCAGTATAATTCAGTTTAATATTTATTGTTCAGAAAAGCAAGAGTACCAGCTATTATTTGCAGGTAGGGAAAATTGTTAAATATTTCATTCCTTCTAATTCATTTTCGCTTTCCTGTTATTGAATAATAGAGGACTTTAGATGCAAAATGATTATTTTGGGCAGACTGATGTAAAATATAATCTTTTCTAAAATCATTATACTTTTAACTCTGCTTAACGGTTCTAGTGTTCGAGAGCTTTTGGCTTGAGGAAGAAGTTTCTACATGGATACAATATTGTTACCAAAGTCTGTGTGTACTAATAAACATGGATATATATATTTGTGACAATACATCTGGAATTGTGAATACATACACTATTTCAAAAAGAAGTCTTTTATATTTTTAAAAAAGTGAAAGAGTTTAAATTCTAAATGAGTTGAAGGGTACTGAAATACTATGAACCAACAAGCTATTACTCGGAAAGAGGGATGGTATTACATAGCAATTGCTAAGGCTTGGGACCCGTAAGTTAAAATGTGAACTTGTAGATAACAGTTTATTGGCAAATTTGAAGATGAAGTGAGATCTGAATATACCGAAATTCAATGGATTTCTAGAGACTTAAACCATTTGCATCTAGAGAAAAAAAAGGTATATATGGGTCTTTCCCCTTATCAAGGAAGTTTTGCTTAATTAAAGCTGTGAGGAATTAAAAATAGGCTTTCTAAGATACACACTTAAGACCTTGTGAAAGGCTTTAATGACTATACTTTTTAAATGTATACGTGTTTGGAATTTGCTATGATGCAGAATAAAGGGTTCTGTTAGAAAAGCAGAGAGGATGGAACAGAAGGTTAAAGGGTATTTTGGAAACAAACAGCTGGACCAGCTTATTTAAACAGAATCAAGGATTGGGAGCTGACCTCCATTTGACTTTTAGGGGGAGGAGCAAGAATGTCATTTTATTACTTTGGCTAGAAGTAAAATGTTCTTTCTTCTGAAAGCACCCTAGCATTTGGGCTGTTTTTCAGAATAGTTATTAAATACAAAATACATAGAAGAAAGTCAACTGTTAAGTCTTTGTGAAAAACATGAATTAAAAACTATGGGCCATGGCATGTATGTTTCAGCTTATACCTTGTCTAGGTTCACAGAGAGGAAATGTTAAATTAAAAAAGGTATTACATTGAAATTTCACCACTTGAAGGCTTCAACCTGAAATTTCCCCCTCCCCTCCCCCCTCCAGGGGATAACCTTGTTGCTGATAGCTTTAACATACAGTACAATAAAATAGATCTTCATAAAAAAAAAGAGCTGAGAAGCATTTAGTTTAAGCCTTTTAGATTTTCTTAAGCATTTTAGTCTGTGCAGGCTCCATAAATGCTTCTCATTAAGAATAGATAAATATTCCTAGTTTTGGATGAGTATCCAAAACTTTTTATCTAATTGTTTATATTATTAGCTTCACTGTTACCATTACTCTTATTATTTAATGAAATAAGTGTTGTAATTTGTATAAGCTTATAGTTCCCTCTTAAATTGTTCCACTGTTGTCACAGAACACAGATGATAGGATCTTTTCTTCTGGAAAAGGGGGCCTTATAGATTGCTTCCAACAAGATTTGGATTTCATGGGGAACAAACTTGATACAATGCTTCCCACTTGTATATTTTTAGGAGAATTACTGTATTCCAAATGGATTCTATACAGTATTGGCTTGTAGATGTTGTTGGTCTGGAGGCAAAAAAAATTCAGGCAACCTCTTAAACTGATAAACACTAAGCCTGAGGCTCACAAGCATGCACAACTTACCTCCAGCCAGAAACCTTATTGATCTAAGATTGCTTAAAATCAGAGTCCCAACTGCCTTTCCCAGCAGAGAAGACCCGGCCTGGCCAGGTATATCAAATCAGCACCTGTTCTGATGGAGAATTGGACTGTTAAAGCAAATAGGCACACCACCCTATCAGCCTAACCCTAACCCATCCTTAACATAAATGTGGGAGTTTATGTAATCTCCAGCTTTGTAGCCACAATTGTTGTCACACTGTTTGCTTTTGCACTCCACACAAAAGACACACACACACACTGTGGCTGCTAATCAGATATAGGTAAGTGCTGCCTTTCAAGAAGTAAAGCAAGTTCTTTACAGTATCTGTGTCCCTGAGGCACAGACAAAAGATGTTTGCACAAGCCTATGGGGGAAAAATGCTAACTTATTGGAACTGGTGAAATGGAAGAGGTTCATTTAGATCCAATTGTTAAGTATCAGGCTAGAAACCGGGGGACTCTGAGTTCTAGTCCTGCCTTAAGCGTGAAAGCTGGCTGAGTGACCTTGGGCCAGTCACTCTCTCAACCCAACTCACCACACTGGGTGTTTGTTGTGGCAAATTGGAGAAAGAAAGAGTATTAGATATGTTCACAGCCTTGAGTGATCTATTTTAAAAAACCGCTCTAAAATCTGAAAGTCTAAATAGCATGAGTCGGTATGTTTAACATGTTTAAAGAGCAGCAGTTTGGAGAATGCTATTTTAGAAATGCTTGTCTGAGGGCACAATAGGTGCGCAAAGAGTATCAACTAAGATACTTGTCTCAGTAAGGGCCTCAGGAAGCTGACAAGCATAGATAAACATACATGCCTCTTAATAGCATACCTGATGTTTTCTATGCCTGGAAATTAAAAATGCCTTCTATAGGTAAGGGTAACTATGGTGGAAAAATCAATTGTATGATAGTACTTCATGAAAAAAGGAAAAAACAACAACAGCTTTGTAATTTTCCTTTGAAAATTTGCATGGAAATCATTTTCTGACAGTTTTCAAATTGGGGGTAATATATGATAACTCATTGAAGAGAAAAATAGTTTTAATTGTTTATTTTGTGGTTTTTCTAATGAGAGAAAAAATATCAAAATCTTTTGCTGACCAGTTTGGTAATTGTGTGTAATACAAATAGCTATCAAATGATTTGACCTAAGAGTTTACATTTTCGCTTTTACCTAAAAAGGAATGGAGAGCTAGGGGAAGTTCACAGCAGAGTTTTATAGGTGTAACCTTTGTGACTGGGATAGCAGCATGAGCTATCATATTTGCAAACATAGTGGGAACAAATTAGACAAATGGCATGCAGAAATATTACTAAGATAAATAATTAACAATAAATAAATAAAGCCTAATTAAAAATTCATTCTTAATTTCAGTGAAACAGTGAAAATAGGACAGTTTGGTACCATAAAAACAGCATTCTTCAGAAATGTTGTGGATGGGATTGGTGTTCAAGATTCTAGCCTGTTCAGTATTGTGTGGAAGGAAGTGGAAACTTAAAATTCAAGCCTCATTGTTGTTGTTTCCCTCCCCCTTCGTTTAAAGCTAGATGGCAATGGCTGGTGTGTGGATTGGGAATATCAAGCAGGAATGTTATTTAAAATCAGGTCACAGTAGTGGGGGATAAAAGGCCTAAACAAAGTTCAGTGCCTTTAAATAGACATGAAATAGCCAACAACAAAAGCTGAAACTTTGTGATTTTTTTTTAAATTTCCATTCTAACATTTTATTTTTTCATTCTTGGAGAGAGTGTCATCTTTCAAACAGGGAACAAAGGACAATCTAAGATAAGGTTTAAGATAAACATCTGCTGTGTTAATATTGAGTGGTATTTGTATGAAAATGAAGAAAACAAGTAGGAAATTCTAGTATCATGGATACTCATTAAGGACAATCCTTTAATTTGGACTTTACATTTACATTATTAGGATTGCAATAGTAAGGTCATTAAATGTAGAGGAAATTACTTCTGAATAGATATGTATAATACACGGTTAAGTTTGGTTAGCACTAATTAACTACTTTTACTTTGTACTGTAATAATCTCTCTTTTTTCATAATAGAGTTCATTGGAATATAAGTTCAAATGACAAATTTTATCTGAACCAGGTCACTTGTTGTCTCAACCCAGTCTAGTTCTGTGATACCCTAATTAAAGTTTAATGAATTGGAGAAGAAAAGTTCCATCACTGTATAGCTATAATACATTCTATGCTTCTTTGCGTAAGAAGCAGAAAGAAAAGAAAAAAAAATAAATACTGTATACAAGAAATTGATTATAAAGTTGTCCAAAGCAGTGTGAACTGCTCATGATAAAACTCCAGACATGTTCTTATTTGATGGTGAGCTGACAACACAGTTCATTATCTTAATAAAACCATTACAACAAATTTACGATTGGGAGAAGCAAGGAAAGTTTTGATAAAATAATAAGGGGAAGAAAAGAGAATTTACTAAAAAAAATATTGCTAATTATGTTAAGTGTGAGTGAGAAGGGAAATGAATGCTTTTATGGATTGGCATCTTTTTCTGACCCACTCCACCCTCCCCCAGAATAATCTGAATTGAAAAGAATTAAACTGATCTTGTTTCCTGAAAATTCTACTAACTCCCCCATGAAAAGATGAAATAAAAGTGTCCAACTGTGGCAAAGGGAGGCCAGCATAAATCAACTCACAATCCAAACTTGCATTTTCAGAGGTCATCAGAGAGGTTACGAGTTTTGCAGCATTTGAATGTACACTAAAATTAACTCCCAGGGAACATATACCAACCATCTTCCAAGTGCTGAGTACAAGCATAGGGGGCTTCTTTTAAAAATAACAGTTCACTCTCTTTTCTTGTTTCAGGTTTATTAATGCTAGAAGAAGGATAGTTCAGCCCATGATAGACCAGTCCAACCGAGCAGGCAAGTTTTTAATATTAACTGTAGCCCTGTCTTGCTGACAAAAAAACATTCACGAGCCATTCACCAGGAGATCTCTTCTTGGTAAATAATTGGGAATTAATGCAGAGAATGGCTGACAATTAAAACAAAGCCTGTCATGATTTATTTCAAAGTTGGTGGATTTAGTACAATTGAGCATATTTTGGAGGTAAATTGTCAGCCATAAACTACATTGTTGCTTACTGAATTTTAATACCAAACATACATTAAGGTTTTTTAAATATTTCTTCCCAGCTATTTGTGCTATTATGACACTCCCTGGTGCATCGCTAGATGTGGAATTACTGTAAACTTTAATATCTGTCCAAAGGGCAAAAGGGTCACAGTGCTTGTGGAATTCAGTAAAGTTCAAAGACATTCAGTTAAGGTAGAACTATATGTGCTTTAATAAAAAAAAAGGCCACTTATCTAGCTTTTAATGTTCTGTTAGAATCTTAAAATTCAAGTTGTGTGGATTTTTTTAAAGGTTTTTTGCATCTTTATCTTCCTTTTATCCTTCACTTTGGGGTATCTGTATTTTGTTATTTATGAACCTTATAATCATGACACTGACTTCTATCAAGATTCAAAATAGCAAGGCTTTAATTCTTTCTGGATATCCTAAATGTTTATTTTTTTTCATGTTATTGCCAAATACAAGAATGTACCTTCCAGGCATTATTTTCATGGTGATTATTTTCAGTGAAATAATACCAGCAAGACTAGCCAAGATTATCTACTCTTAAAGATTATTTAAACATTGGTTAAATGTGTGTACATCTTCCTGGTCAATCTACAAGGCTGATAAAATGCCCTGTAGTGATTAAAGCAAAGCCTTAAAAGGAGCAATGGAGCTAGTGGTGCCATACCATGATCTCTGCATGCATTTCAAAGCCTGATGATTTAAAATATAAACATCTACATATAGTGGGGTCATATTATTCACCCAAGAATTCTTCTGCATTTGTGGACTTGATGAAAACATTCCCAAAATCTTTTCATGCACTTTGGCATTGCGATAAATTGCTCCTTCCATTTTCCAGTAATAGATATGTAAAGGCAATGAAAAAGGGACTGCTGCTTCTTCAGCAACACATGGTATTTCTTGTTGCGAGAATGGTCCATAGAGAAAGTCATTGCCATTCTCAATAAGAAAAACCACAGGTTGCTTATTGCAACTCTGCTTCTGCTTAAAGCAGTGGTAGGGTTGTTTTTTAACTGCCAGCCCTCCTCCCCACCGCCAAACAGCAGCTCTGGATTTTTTATTTATTGTCTAATATTCTTCCAAAATGTGAGCCGCTTTCCCCAGCCATCTCCATTTATGGCAGAGAGATGGTCCCAAGCAATAAATATCTTTATTGAAATGGGGGAAGGGATCATTTTTGACCTAGCCAAGTATTACCATCTTTTTTCACTGAGATTTGTATATATGTATTTGAGCAGATATGAGTCTTATATGTGCATGCATTCTTATGCACATCTTGTAAAGAATGCAAGTTCTGTTGTCTAAAAAAAGAGCACATTAATGAGAAATGTGTTTCCACACAGGACTAACTGCTACACATAACAGGTTTAGGGATAATTGAAAACCTTTAATAGATTCCCATAAATTTTAATTAATTCTTTCCAACATGATGCCTTATAGTTTTGGGGGGTTTTTTACTTGCAAATTCCACTTTCCCAACTACAAGCTATTATTGTTAGGACTGACAAGAGTTACAGATCAAAATACTTGGATAGATTCAGATTGAGAAAAGTTGTCAAAGAAGACTGGTTTGCAGTTGCATTATTATTGTACATGCATAGAAAATTATTTTCAGAAAACATAGTCATAATATAGTGTGTTTGCATTTTTGGCTTAGCATGATGTACAAATGTATCGAAGTGTATGTAAACCATGACTTGTATTTTCTTTGGGATGGATTCATGCATCACACTAAGCCAAAACCAATATGTTGAGTTATCTGTGAATATTTAAAACTATCCATAATAAAATTCATAGATGGTGTCTGGGCAGACAGGTGTAGACACGGAGTGCTTGGCTCATAATCTGGCTGCAGCAAAGAATTAATTTTGTGTGGGAGAATTTTTAATGTATGCACATGGGCTGGGAAAGGAAGAGGCAGCTGTTAGATACCCTTATAGTAGACTCATATTTCCCTTTATTGATAAAGGTTGAGGTGGTAGAGGACTAAAGAAGCTATTAATCTTTTTCTGTAAGGCATGAGGAAGGTATAAAAAAGTAACAGTTTCTCAATTGAAACAGCTGACACAATAGCAATAACTTTAACCTCCAAATGTGTCTGGAAATGAACTGATCAGTTCCTTTTAAGACGACTGATCATTTTGCTGATAAAGAGATACTAAGCAATTTCCTGCACCTTTTTAGTAAGCCAAGGAACACCTTATAATCCAGATGGACAACCAATGGGAGGTTTTGTGATGGATGGTCAACAGCACATGGGAATCAGAGCACCAGGTAAGAGTTGCCATGCACTTTCCTCCGAGTCCTAATGTCAATTATGCCACTTCTTCACACTGTGAACAGGTAACTCTGCCTCATCCTCTGCTGCACTTGCCTTGCCTTTCCTGTCTTCTGATGCACTTGAAATATGACCTAGGGACAAGACAGGGATCTTTTCCACTCTTAATGTCTGAATATTCCTTGAGCCTCTGGTATCTGTGTTTTTAAGGGTCTTTTGGCACTATCTGTTGACTTTGCTCATTCTCTGGCATCTTCTTGGATTTTTTTATCTCCCTTCTAGGACCTATGAGTGGAATGGGCATGAATATGGGCATGGAGGGGCAATGGCACTACATGTAACCATCTAGTTAACCAATCGCAAAGCAAGGGGGAAGTAAGTACAAATGGGGTCTTTATCTTCACTGTGTTCTGGGTTCTTCCCTTCTTGCATTTTTCTTACATTCTCCTTGCCCATAGTTTCATGCTTGTTCATTTCTTCCCATGAAATTCTTGGTTTCTGTATGCTCTCTCTCTCTCTCTCTCTCTCTTTCTTTTGATCAAGCTTTCAGTTTAGAAAGCACTGTATATGATGTACATTTATTCCTGTATGTTGCTATTATACAGTACTGACCACATGACAAAACAAGACACAGCCAAGAGGAGAGAGGGGAGGAGTTGTCATAGTAACAGACTGATTTGCAAAATGTAAGCAGTCTGCAGCAGTGCAAGGAGACGAAAGAGCATGTCCCCAAAGTGTCATAAATCTGTCTAACCACAGTTGATGCATGAGTTACATTTCTACACTAACCTGCAAGACACCAAAAAGCTAAACAGAAACTTCTTTTTAGGTAGAAGAAACAGAAACTTCACTCAGGGTGCTCAGTTCTGTAATTGTGAAACTTTTTAAAAAGTTTTATTTCTCTTTGTCTGGCTATCATAATGGGATTATGCAGGGCAAAGGAAAAAAAAAAAGAATACCAAACCGAGGTGCGCACAGCAGGCTATGGAGCTTAGCCCAGGCTAATTGACTATATCCAAATTAAGTATGCCATCAGTTGCAGTGTGACAAATGGATTTGACTTATTCAGTGTACTAAAATAGAGATCATTAATGCAATCTTCAGTGGCAAGCCTAGTGAAATAAGCCTGCAAACACTGTCCCAGTTCTTTTACTCTTGTCTTTTAAAAGAGAAAGGGCTCTTTAAAAAATAATAATAAGGCAATATAAAAATATCAGTGCATATTAAATATTCGTGGAGTCATTTCATTTTTTTCCCCTAAAAGTGGAAACATGGCTCATGACATCTTTTTGTGCATGCCTTTCAGTACTTTACCATACCATGAGAAATTACCAGAGTGGATGGTGTTTCCCAGCCATTCTGCAAATGTTAGTCAAATACAAGTTTATAACAATTAGCTGTAAAAACATTCCTGGTCAGCTTGGGAATGCAACTAGGTTATTATCTCATTATGGACATTTTTCTAGCTTAGTTAATTTCAATATTGTTTCTTACTTTCTAGGTCAATTAAATTTTAAATGATGTATTTTATGCTTTGTGGCCAATTAAATTAATAGGTTATTACAAAAATCATCCTTTTTTATTAAACAGCTGTGAGTACAGTATATTTTATAACCAATTTTCATTAGTTCAAAAATGTTCCTTTAGGCTAGATTAAGCAGAGGTTCATTGCTAGAGTCTGGAGACCTGATTCTAAGGTGTTCATAGAATTCACAGTGCACTATTACTTGGAACTCAAGCCAATTGAACCTACTTAGCAATAGAGCTATGCCTTTCACCCTTGATGATTATGGAGCTTATAGCTCTCAGAAACAATACATCTGTCAGTTTCCATCAAGTACAGCAATCCATGCAGAAGGCAGAGGCCCACCGAAAGCTGGAGGTTGATTGTCTTAGGCCCATTTTTTTTCTTATTGTTCTTAAAAATCGCTGAAAGGTTGACTGAGCTTTGCTTCTCCCCCCCCCCCGATAAAAACGGTCTCAAAGAAGGAATTAATTGATATCGGTTATTGGTTTTTATCCATTTCAAAACAGCAGGTTTGATTTAGAAACCATCCTTTACCATGGTATCAATTTCAGCAAAATAGGAGGCCATGTGCCTCAGCACTTTTTTAAATTCCATTTGTAGTCTAAATAAAAAAGAAACTACGAATGATTTTGAAGTTACTTAAACCAGTTATCCTTCTCAGAATGCCATATTATTTCTTGCAAGGAACCCTATTTCACTATATTTTATCCACAAGAGATTATGTTTCCAACAATCAGAGAAAATAAAGGGATTGTATTCAGGAATTGATGTCAAACGTTTTCTGTAGCCCACATGTCCATATCAAATATGGGCGTGTGGATTATTCTCTGTGGGCCACATGCCTGTATCTGACAAACTATTAAAGAACAGACAAGTAGCTTCTATTATTGAGAATGTTTCATACTATAGTTCACAGAGTTCTTATACATTAGGCTTAGGTTATACTTTCTACTCTGCAAAAGATTATCTTCCAGACCTTATACTAATTCTTTTTTGGAGGGAACTATACATAAATGTTTGGTTTAGTATATGTGTGACTGGGTTGTTTTTCCAATGGTTGCATTCTCTAAGCATCGTTTCAATACAAAATCATTTTAAAAAGGCCTTGACCAAATTAGAGACAGTCCTTGTTTAGCAACCACAGTTGGGACGGACAACTCAGTTATTAAATGAAGCAGTCTCTAAGTGAAATTGTGACTGTGCTTACAATCTACTTTCCTTTGCTTCACAGACCTGTGAAAGTCATAATTGTGAAGCTTGGTGGTAAAGTCACTTTCTCATCACCATCATAACAGTTGCTCAAAGAGGCAATTGCTAAACAAGGACTACATGTAAATAGGGTTGCTGTGTTTCAATCAACCCAAGCTGATATTCACGAGTTTCTCTTTTCTTTCCCAGGACTGCAAAGTATGCCAGGGGATTATGTGTCTCGGGGTGGTCCAATGGGCATGACAATGGGACAGCCAAGTTATACACCACCCCAGATGCCCCCCCATCCAGCACAGTTGCGTCATGGCCCCCCCATGCATCCCTACCTTCCGGGACACCCCCACCACCCAGCAATGATGATGCATGGTGGACCACCCCACCCTGGAATGCCGATGTCAGCGACTAGCCCCACCATGCTCAATACAGGAGATCCAGCAATGAGTGGACAAGTGATGGACATTCATGCTCAGTAGCTTAAGGGAATATACTTTATTTTCATGAATGGCAGATTTGAAATATTGTCGTTCTACAATGACTTAATGGAGTTCCATTCTTGGCATCTAATTTGGACCAAGGAACAATCCGATTGTCTTTATAGGGACCCTGAAAAGCAGGAAAAACACACCAAGTGAAGTCAACTTCTGGGGACAAGAAAAATAACTATATAAGGCAACAGAGTTGAATATTGTAAAATGCTATTATTCTGTTATCCATATTATGTTCTTTCTTATAGATTTTTTAAGAAAAAAAATGTGAATTTTTTTCCACACTATGTGTGTTGTTTCCATAACTCTTCACTTCCTGCAGAAGCCTCCTTACATTTTTTTAAAAAAAGCCTTACAGTTATCCTGCAAATGACAAAAAAGATTTATTTGCAGGATTTTTAGAGCATTAAAATATCTATGTCAGGCAGAAGAACATTTCTTCTATCCTAGGATTTCAGCCATGCACTCTGTATTTCTGTTTTCTCTCTCTCTCTCTCTCTCTCTCTCTCTTTATTTCTCTCTCTCCCCCTTTCTTCCCCTCCCCTCCCTGCCTGGGGCGTGAATTTGCATGTCTAATTCATTTACTCACCATATTTGAATTGGCCTGAACAGATGTAAATCGGGAAGGATGGGAAAAACTGCAGTCCTCAACAATGATTAATCAGCTGTTGCAGGCAATGTCTTAAGGAGACTGGTAGGAGGAGGCATGGAAACCAAGAGAAAAGTGTATTTGACCTTAATTGTCACATCAGAGCATCATTATCCCCATGAAGCAGCAGCAGCAGCAGCTACCACCTACATCACTTCCTGTTTTATGCCTCTCAAACCATGAACTGAAGAGTTATTTTTACTATGTTGACTTTATTTTTTCGGCAAAGCATCAGTCATGCATTTTTCCATAGTCCCATCATGGAGCATATATGTATACATTGTAAATAAATTTTGTGCAAAAAGGACTGGAAAAATGAACTGTATTATTGCTTTTTTTCTTTTCTTTCTTTCTCTTTTTCTTTCTTTCTTTCTTTCTTTCTTTCTTTCTTTCTTTCTTTCTTTCTTTCTCTTTCTCTTGCTTTTTCTTTAATTTCTTTCTTCTTTCTTTCCTTTCTTTCTTTTTGTAAAAGTAGCAGTTTGGTATGAGTTGGCATGCATACAGATTTACTAAGTGGGATAAGCTAATTATACTTTTGTTGTGGTTAAACAAATGCTTGTTGATAGCCTTTTTCTATCAAGAAACCAAGGAGCTAATTATTATTAATAATCATTGCACATTAAGTCTTAGAGTTTCTGACTGAAACTGTTTGGATTGTACAATAACTCAAAGCCCAGCTGTAGTAGTTCAAGTGCAGTAATGAAACTGAATCTAAAATAAAAGCAAATTATTTTTGTCACGCTGGCTCAACTGCTTGAAAATTTTATTTTTCTGCCCAAGCCCTCTAAAATTGTAGCAATTTGCTAGCAACTATTCCAGCCTCACTCTCTCAAAATAATTTTAGCACTAGGCAACTTTAGTAATATTTTTTTTAAAGTAAAGCATTTTATATGGTGAACTTTCCTAGACCTATTTGTTTATTTTCAAGTGATTTTCAAATCTGTTTTATTAGATGCTAGTCATTCCAAATCAAAAAAGAACCAATTGCACAAGATTAATGAATGCTGTTATGTAATATATTTGTAGTTATTTAAATTAAATTACTCTAGGATGTGTTAAATTTTACTCCTCAAAATGTTAATGTTGATTACAAAAAAAAAAATCTGCCAGTCATTATACCTGAATTAGTGCATTTACTTACAGTAAAAGATGTTACACTTTAAAAATCCAATGTTCATAAACAAATCTGGTTGCTGCAAATGGCTGTAGATAGAAATACTGAGCAATTTTCCAGCATAGCTGTATATTCTGCTCTGTAGCCAACTGGTTAACTAGAACCAAATAATATGCTTAGGTTTACAATACCTTATAATTTTCTTCTAAATAATATTACAGCTTTAAAAAGTTTCCTAAGGGCATGGGGAAAAAAGAGAAACTTTCACTAAGGCACACTAATAAAAAAAAACTATTTTAAAAAAAGATTTAATGGTAAACTGCTTGATAGGAACAAAAGACCTCAGTGGTGAGAACTATTTCTGCCATTCACACAGATGTCACCCCATAAAACCACCCTAACAATTCCCTGTTTAAATTTAAAAGGGAGACCAGTTGTTTGGTGACTACTAGGCAAAGTTTGATAGATTGGTTTATCTACTGCTTGAACCACTTGGAGAGCATTCCCGCTCTATCCAGCTAACATCTCAAATGTTTAAAGAAAAGCCTGTTGAGAAGATAGCATCTTCTGCATATAGGAGATACACACTCCCCACTGTCCAGAATTTGAACCTAGTATTGGACACAAGTCTACTCCTATATAGTTTCTTTCTGCTCATAGCCTAACTTGAAGCTTTATTTTATGAACCATAGAAACTCGAGTCATTTTATTTTCTGTTCTCTGTCGCTCTTTGTGGAAGGCATTCAGTTTTCAGTTGTGTGCCTTTGCTATTAATTAATTACTACTTGTTTACTTTCTCCATTGGAGTAAAAATATTTTCTTATCTGATGTATCTGTTCAGGCTAAGAATCACAATGCCTTAAGTTGCACTGATGTTGAAACAGCCACTTAGATCCTACAGATAGCGATTCGGATATATTCCAACAAAGATCGAGTCATTTGCATTAATGGAGGGAGGGGCGTGGCTGTCTAGGAAACGGCCAACCAATCAGTGACTTAAGAAAGCAAATGTTTAATATAGGTTCCTTTCTTTGCTCAAAGGAACGCCTTCCCAACTTTATAGATGGCCGGGGAGTTGTTATATCTTTCTTATCCCTGCGATATCAAAGAAAATTAGGAATACATTTGCTGCCCAAGTTAGGTCTGATAGCCTTTCCCATTTTTTATTTTCAGGAGTGGAGCAAAAAGTGTTATGTGCTGCTATTAAAATTTGGAAGGGGAAATTTTTTTTTTCTTCAATGAGATTTTTTTTTCTTCATTTTCAGTTATTTTTTCCCTCGAAAAATATAACCAAGGCAGTCACATTCGGGGTTACATCCCCAAACTCTTAATCAGCTGCAATTATAGCACATTAACGAATAATACTCTCAAAGCATATTTTTTTTGTTTTTTTTATTTGTTCGTCACATGTTGGACGGCTTTTACAGGCAAAGGAAAGAGAAGTAAACGGGTTACAAATAGGGAATTATCCTTCGTTTAGCATTAAAATTCATTTAGATAAAATTGCCACAAACATTTAAATGGAGAGATTAGTTCCCCCTCACGCCTTATTGCACACTCTCAATGGCTCCGTTAAGAACATTTTATACGTTGGAAATTCCGTCTTCTCAGGCTGCTGGCTGTTTCCTAGTTACCCACATTCAAAGCGAAGGCAGCAGGGACAGAAGAGAGGGCTGGGGGAAGGGAGAGAAGTTGGGTTCCCCCCCCCCCTTTATCACACTCCCTTTTTTTTTTCTTTTTGGCAACCAGACTGCAATTCATCCTCTTAGATTTGTTAGAAGTAAAGGAGAAAATAACAGATTATTTTCTCTTTGGACACCCAGTTACCCTATATGGAAAAAGAAAGCGCCGCTGTTTCTCTTTTTCTGCCTCATTCTCCTTCGCCGCCGGCTCCCTCTCGCTCCCCCCTCCCCCAAACTGGGAATCAAGTTTTGGGTTGGATCCGTTCATCGCAAAGCGATTGAGATGAACGTAGGTCCATATCAGCGTGTGGACCCGGTCTGGAGGGAGCGAGGGCATCGCTTGATAAAAAGTTCTGAGTAGCGCCTTGCCGCACTCGCGCGGGTGTGTGTGTGTGTGTGTGTGTGTGAGGAAGCGATCAAGCGGGCTGCTGAAATGTATCTCGGTTTGCAGCCCAGAGAGGAGTACGGGTTGTTTGCACTGAAAAATCTCTGGAGGGATTAATTTGAAAACAGATCAGTCGTCTTCCACCTTCCTCCTCCCGTTCGTTCGTTCGTTTGTTCCTTCCTTCCTTCCTTTTCTTTCCCTCTCGCTGACACCCGCTTGCAGAGCCAAAGGAGACAGAACGCCAGCTTCGACTGCCATCTTTTGGGGATTTGGAAAAACGATTCCCTCGCTTTCCTTTTCCCCGATATTCCTCCACCCTCCGTCCTTCCAAACCTCCGGTCCCAAATCGAGATTCCGCTCTAGCCGATGGCGATAAAATTTGGGGTGGGTATTCTTGCAAATGATTGGCTTGCAGTTGCGCCTGGAAATCGTTTTCAGTCACCGACCAAGGAAAACTTCGCGTGGCTGCTTAGCCGCAGAAGAGTTCCGCCGATCCTCGGGGCCAAGCGCGGAATTATTTCCCTCTTTCCCCCCCCCACCCAAAAAATGTTTTCTCTTCAAGCTTTTTCTTTGCGGGAGGGAAACATCCCCTTTTTTTTTTCCAGCGAAAAATTGTCGGACGAGGCCGCATGCGCGGTGGGGCTCCTAGACTGATTTTTTTAATTATTATTATTATTAATGTAAGCGGGGGTCGAAAGAAGTCAACCGTCCGCCTGGCCGGTGTGTGTTGCGGGGAGAGAAGAGGCTGCTTGAAAAGAAAAAAAAAAAAGTGGGACGGCCACTTTGGAGAATCTTGCGGCTGTGTTTGGACGTTTTTCTCCAAGTTTATAGCGGCTTCTTACCACGTTTCACGCACGTGTTCCAATATGGGGGGCGGTTGATTTGAATAAACACTTTCTAAGAAATTGCGGATCTGGTGCGCGGGCCGGCCCAAAGTGACACGGGCCTCTCGAACACGTAGAACAGCGCCTTGTCCCGCTTTTTACTGGGCTGGGTGGAGATAAGCGCCAGCGTGCGTGCGTGCGTGCGTGCCTGCGTGCGTGCGTACGTGCCTGAGAAAGAGTGAGTGAAGAGAGGTGGGGGCATACGGAGCTAGGTCTAGCCTCCCGCTTCTGCAATTGCCGCCATCTCTCACCCTGAGGAAAGCGAGCTGGCAGCATGTACGCCCGCCGTGCCCTTCTCATTACAAAGCCAGGTCCCCTCGGGGGTTGTAGGGAGGAGCGGGAGGGCCCTAAGCTACGGAGGACGAACTGGCCAGTCCCTGTCTCCGGAACTGGGCTCTTTTCTCGGGTATAAGAGACGGAGCTCTCCTGAATCGGGCGAAGGCGCCCCGGTTCTCTTCCTCAGCCGCACACACTGGTCGCCGGCGTCTGAAAGTCAATCGCCCGAAAGGCAAAGAGAGGTGGTCGGTGGTCCGAAGCGAATTGGGAGTCGGAGCTCCTCTCAGATCCAGCGGGGTCTCTTTTTATTTTTTTTATTTTTGTTTTTTACTGTCTGGTTTGACTCTCTCTCCGCGCGCCGCCGAAAAACAGAAATCCGGACGAAGTGAAAGTGGGGGGAAGGTCCCGCAAAACTCCTTTCGTTCTGACTCTCGAAAGGTGGAAAAAAGAGAGGGGAAGGAAACGGGTGACAGGGAAAAAGGGAGGTCTGTCAGGAGATTTTGAGTAGGTCGTCGCGCAATACGTATCTCTTACAAAAAACAGCTCACCGCCGTCCCTCCTAGCCCGCCGCCACAATCTGGGTCTGTCGCTATCCTGCCCCCCGCTCCACTCGCAGCATCCCCGGAGAAAGCGCGGGGAGAGCGAGTCCCCCCTTTTAAAGCCAGCGCGGTCAGGATCGTCTCCGTGGCCTCCGTGGCTTCTCACTCCGGAGTCCAATCCTGCCGTCCGGGCCCACCTGGCCTCGGACCTTTCCCTAAAGGGGAAAAGACATCCCCGCCGCCTACTCTCAACCCTCCCTTGGGGCACTTCAGGCACCAGAGCAAGCGAAAGCCAGAATCCGTTCACTGAGGCGAGAGGCTTCCTCTTGTGCAAGTTTCCGCGCGAAGCCTCTGTGTGTGTGTCTGTGTGTCTGTGTAAGTAGAGAGAGAGAGAGAGAGAGAGCCTGTAGGTAGAAATAATTTTCGGTTCTGCCAGGTAAAAAGCAGGGTCAATCTGGAGACAATTAAGAGTTGTCGCCTCACGTTTGACCGCCTCGCCGCTTGCCTCCCGCAAGTCGTGCAACCGCGAGAACGTGTGAATGTGCGTGGGCATCGATGAATACTCCTAAAACGCGTGTGGGGTGCTGGCTGGAGTTTTTCCAGCCAAGTGTCAGCAGAAAGTCCCTGAAGTGTCCCGGAAAACAAAGCAAAGCGAGTGTTCTCTTCCCTGCTGCCCGGTCCCAAACCTAAGACGGGGTGGGGGGGGGGAGGAATTGACCCTCCATCTCAAGACGGTGAAGAGTCCTGAGAGCCGCGTAGGAAAATGGTTGTGTACGTTTGGGAGGAGATGTTGAGATTTTCCCTCTTTCCTCCAAATACGAGGTGGTGGGTGGATAAATAATACTTTAATAATCCGCCGCGCCCATATTCTTAAAATTCACCTTGAAGCACTTTTCCTTAGAAATGTAGATTTTACTTCTCAGGTGCTACTACGGCACCTGATTTTATAAGGATATGGATGCCCCCTCGTAAAGTTAGCAAAATGAAGCCATTCTCGGCTGATCACACCACCCCTCTCTCGTTTCTGGACCCGAGCCCAAACTCAAGTAAATGTGGGCAATATACCCGAGTCTTAACATAGGTAAAGGAATGGAGGGCAGGCTTAGATTTTGCTCGAATTCTAGTTCGACTAAATGAATTTTTGCTTTTCTCGCGA